TGAGATTTTCACACATTTCTGTCTAATCCAGAGAAAAAAAAAAAAAAAAAAAAAAAAAAAAAAAAAAAAAAAGAAGACAACGGGGGAAAGGGGGGATGGAAAAAAGGACAGAAAAGAAGGGGATGGGGGATGAAACAAAAGACCCACAAGAAACCGGATGCCGACGGACCCCAAGTAAGCTGAAGATCTGAGGCCACATGTCCTAATGACAAACGTGTCCACCCCAGGGAAGCCAAAGGAAAGGGAGGTCCCAGACGTCTTGATGCATGCTCAATCATCCAGGTAAGGAAATGCCATCTTGATGCAGCGTTTTCAGTAGGAGAAACATTTCATAACTCATCCAAGTGACTTCTTTAGTCTAATCTGACTGCAGGTTTCCCAACCTTATAAACAATACATTGCACAGTGACTGAAACTAGCACTACTGAATGAACAATGGGCTGGAAGGTCAGTTCCTTGATGATTAATCAATCACTAATCAATCCGTCCCAGATGGAGCTCCCACAGCAAAAGGCATGAGTGCTAGGGGACTACAGGCAGCGTGCAACTGACCCTGCAGCAAGCCGAGGATAGGGCCCCGAGAACCCCCCAACACAGCAGGTTATGACTTTATGTCAGCTAATGTTAGACTCGAGTGTCCTAAAAATAACACTTTCCTTCTGATAAATAAATAGTTTGACCACATTCTCATACAGTATGAGAGTTTATTAAGTTAGTGTCAAGTTCAACCGTGTTCGATCCACTTGAAAGACATTTTCAGTAATTCTGGCTAACAGCAGCTAACAGTGGAAAAAAGCGGGGCTTACCAACAGAACATTTAAGGATATCCTCAACAACATGTGAAGTAGAACAGTGTATTTGACTGGCATTAGACTCCTTTTAAAACGTTTTAGAGCCTCCTCTAGAGTAAATAGATGAGACTCACCTGGCATATCAAGGTAAACAGCTAACTGACAACCTTGCAGACCTAAACAAAAAAAAAATGATAGGACAGATCTGAGGAACCCCAGTTTTTGCGGTGACTTGGGGGTAAAAACGCATACTGCAAAATATGGCTATTGAGTCCATTTTTTTTGTTTGTTTGTTTATTTGTTTGTTCTTGTTTTCTTGTTTTTTGCTGACTAAAGCACATTTTTCCTACAATAGCCATTATAGCTAGGCGGTAAGAAAACAGAAATCAGTGGACTGCAGTTTGTAATCTTGTGACCTCTAGTGGTAAGAATTTACACACTTTAAACTGAAAAAGTTGCATTTCTCTTTAAATACACGAGTTTGTAAAAGCAATACACAAACAAAGAAGTCAGATTTACTTTGTTTTTCATTCTCCCACAATATGTTTATTCATATATGGCCTCTCAGTTTTGCTTTTCTGTATTTGGCGCAAACGCAAAAGAAAAACATTTTGAAGATGTCCCACAGTTAAGACGTGGGTCTAATAATTGTAGTATTTATTCCTTTCATCCTGTTTAACATTTAATTTCTAACTTTGTTTATCTATTTTTTCTGTCTTTTCCTTAACTACCACCGCCTTTGCCACTGATGTAGGCCTATAGGTTGTAACTTGCCCTGTATCATACAGACACACCGAACACGTTGCGCTTTTGCGCAATTTGGTCCTGATGTTCCCAAGCCAGGAAAGAAAAAGACGGAGATTCTGAGTTCATCAGATTCTTAGAGAAGGCATTTTATGTTTTGATCCAGGAGCTGAAACTGTACGATGGCCGCTTTTGAACGTATTTCAAGATGTCAGTGCAGTTTAAGCTCTTGTTAGCAGAGTGGGGACCACACACCTGAGAAGGCCTATTTTGCTGTGTGCCTGAGGTAAAATAGTTGTTGTTGTTGTTTTTAAACTATTTTTACTATTAAAATTATTTTACTATTTCCGTTTCATTGTATATTCAGTACATGCACGCGATTTGAGCTATGCTGGTTGCCAAATGCAGTGTTCTGATTGGTCAGATCTGTTAATTCAGATTCGAAACATCGGGAAAATCGAGCTTGGTCGGTGTGAACAGCTGCATGAAGAATAGATGAGTCCGAAAAATACTTACAAATATTACGAAATATATATTTCGTGCGAAATATAAAATACGCATGAAATATTCGCACAGATTTTATGTGTGAAAGTTCCTTAAACATGTAGAAAAGTCCAACATGGGGAGGGGGGGGGGGGGGGAGAGGCTACGAGGGCGGATTATGAGAAATGACTTTTCAGGAATGTCGGCGCCTCCTACTAACCTGAGAACAATTTTACTTGAATAGAAAAGCTGTGCCAACACGCCTGGAGAAGAAAAAAACAGCTTCTGACACGTTACTTGTTGGTATGTTTGCAATACGATAGAGGCAGGGCTTCATTTCCTTTCTGTCACAGAGGAGACACAGAAGAAAATAGAGCCGCTATTTTTCTCTCTGACCCAATATCAAAGTTTCAGGTAGACTAAGAATAGTTTTAATTCTGTCTTTATATTTATTCTTTACCCTCAGACCTTTACCCACCACCAGTCTGCTGGTGAGGGAATAGAAATGACAACAGTCGTTTAAACATTATTTTATTGATATTGATATTTGACGTAGGGGCTGATACAAAGAGGTCCTAATTACATGTATTTCGAAGGTTGCGCGGCGGAGTTAAATCAACGGATCCTGTGTGGTTACCATAAAACCGAGCTGGTCTACTGAGTGGTTGATCTGCAGCAGAATGAACAGCGCAGGTAAGAAGTGAAATAGCAGGACAGCAGTCACCCTGCACAGACACCGAGTCCATGCAGGGATGAGCTTCTGGTAGTCGGCGCGACTACCAGCAGCAAATATGTTCCAGCAAATGCAAGGTGCATTTTTAAGGTTTCTTTGAAGTTTTTTTTTTTTTTAATTCTGAGACTAGATAAATACACAAAATTAAATATTCACTGAAATTAAATAACCTGCTGCCCAAACTTCAGTTAAATGGCGACCTGATATCAGTTAACCTGTTAATTGCATCATTTGGTTTTTATTTTCTCTCTGGGATTTATTTGTGCTTGAACAGCTTTACTTATAAACAGAGGTATTTTGTTGAGGAAACAATTCCAATGTGAATATTTTTTTAGTTTTAGGATTTTCCTTTGACCGAAGTCCTGAAAGAAATGATGACTCTGTTAGATGGATATACCTGTTTTTTCTAAAATAAACTTCTTCTTTTTTATTTTTAAAAGGGTGCTGGTAAAAGAAAGCCAAAAGGATTTTTCTTCTTATGTTAATTGTCAGCATTACCACCTCATTCAATTTTAATATAGCTATCGATATGGATGGATAATTGATATGGGTTAGTTTATGCATTTTATTGGGTTGTAATTCTCTTACACTGTAACATTTATCTTTTGGATGGCGGCACAAAGATTGAAAGAATGTGAGAGACAGGGAGAAAGCTGTATGAAGATGGGAGAGAAAAAGAAACAAACATCTCCAAATCTCTGCCAAAATCAGCATCAAAGTTATAATGCTAAAGTAGCTTCTATTTTGCCCGCATACATATCTGCATTCAAGCACCTGAGCAAGGACTAAGCGACTCCACCTACTGTCCATTGTAGATAAAAGGAATCCATGACCTAGGGCTCTGAAGTGTTCTTGTTACAACATGTAGAAGGGGAAATAGGAGCCCTTTCAGTTGTATTCAGCTCTATTGAAATTAGGCTGAAAGACTTTTAAACAAACAAACAAACAAACAAACCAGAATGACTCAGAAGAATAATATCTTAAAGAATACTAAGAACTGTAGAAGGGAAGTTAGACTGATTGCTGACAAGGGAAAAAGTGGAGGAAAGTGAAGCTCAGACTAGGACTTGGGACTCCAGGAATGTCCCACCGTGAGGAACCCCCAGGGCAAACCCAGGACTTGCTAGAGAAATTATATCTCTTGGAGACCTCTCTTAAACAGAGCGCACCAAGGCCACAGAGACCAGCCCTGGGTACATGACCATACATTTCCCTTCCCACAACTGCTGAGGCCCAGCTTACGCAATACTTATTATCCATAATAAACTTCAATGTTGATGTCATCCTCTGAGTGTTCACCTTACCCTAAGCAAAAACATCCCCCCCGCCCCACCAAAAAAAAGGATAATTAATTAATGCATTAAAAAAACTTAGATGAATTTGAGTTCTCTCTGTGTTAGTTTGAATGGTTTGTTTCTTATTTCTTTTAATTCCAGCTGCATATACCCCTCTCATGCCCACCTCAGCCAACACTTTCAGCAATGCCCCATTTTATGAAGGCAATGTGTCGGCAGGAGGTAAGAAAAGCCCAATTCCTCACATTAATGTTGTTGCATTGACCTAACCTGCTTTTTTTATAGCTTGTTTTATAACTTAAAGATCTTTATCATTGCTGGATGACGGTTCCTGCCCCCTCCGCCTATATGAAGCCTGTAGTTTTATGCAGATGTTTGCCTTTTTAACGAGTAGTTTCGACCAGCGGTCCCCAACCTTTTTCGCGCCACGGACCGGTTCACGCCCGACAATATTTTCATGGACCGGCCTTTAAGGTGTCGCGGATAAATACAACAAAATAAAACTAGTACCGGTACCAAAAAAAGAAGATTTATTCATAACACAAGTAAAAAGACCTAGGAAAACCGAGTTAACGATAAAAACGATAACAGAATAACGCTAAAAACCGATAAAAATCCTGAAAAGCATACATTTCACACCTGAGCCTCAACTCTCGCGGCCCGGTACCAAACACACCGGTCCGAGGCCCGGGGGTTGGGGACTGCTGGTTTAGACTACGTATGTAATAGTGTGAAAGAGAAGAGAGAGTTGAGAAGTAATCAGTGCTTAAGCTAATCTTAAAACTAGAGAGTGTGTCTGTCGCTCAAAACTCTGCCTCCCATTAGAAACTTTAAAAACTGTGAATCTCTGGGGGAGGGGGGGGGGGGGGGGTTGTGTTTTTGTCATTTTGTATGATGATTTATGTAGAAGTCCACTTTGTTAGTCTAGTTGTCCTGTTTTGAGTTTCTTATATTCCCTGTTTAGTTCCTTATTATTTAGTATTTTCCCCTTGTGGCCTCTGTGTCTCTCTTTGTGTGTCTGTGTTTATATAGGTTGTGTGAGTTCTTGTGTCTTATTTCCTCCTTGTGTTTTATTCTGTTTTCCCCTGGCTGCCATGTTTCCCCATTCAGTCACGTTTCTGTGTCTGTCTGTCTGTGTGTCTCTTTGTACGATTAGGTTCCAGTATTCCAGTTTAGGTTATTTTCTTTGTGTCACCTACATGCCAGCAAATAAGGCTGTGTTTTTTGAGTTTACTTGAGACGTGAGTGTGCGTTTGGGTCCTTTCCTGCCTGCACACAGCTGACTTATGACAGAATCAGAAATAAACCTGCAGGGTTGCAGTGGAGAACATGTTACAGTTCTGTTCTGATATGTAAATTTATTACGGTAACTGTATTTTGCCTTAATTGTGATTTCATGGTGACTTATTTATTTATTACATTTATTTGACTTAAACATGACAGTTAATACAACAAAAAAAAAGGTGTCGGGGTCAAATTTTAATATCAAAAGTAAAATGAGATGCATTACAATATTCTGTCACCATTTTTGGGTGTGAGGTTAACATGCTGGTTTTAATCTTACTGGAATAGCTAACGCTAGCGTGGGCAGAACCCTCTTTCATTCGCACCACAAATTTCTCTGCAGGATCAGGCTTGTTCAGCTGCACACATAATGTAACTTTGTATGAACTGAAGTTTATCTAAAAAAATTGTCATGTTCCAACTTGTCACTGTTTAACCAGTTTGATGAATGAGTCTTCTGAAGGAAGATAATGTGAAATATGATACCTTTCCTTTTAATTCATGCAAGGGCGTAAATTCGGCATGGACGGAATTAAGGGACATGTCCCCACCAATATCCAGCGATTATTGAATTGTCCCCACCAATAATTTGATCTCTTTGAGTAAAGAAAAACAAAACCGATAGAAATAAAAAATAAAAAAATAAAAAAGCGATCTGTCAACCTCTCATTCACCCAGCAGTGCAGAAAGAGTTAAATTACGTTCTCTACTGGAGTCCTATATCATGTGACAAATATAGCCAATGTGATTGGCTGTGCCTTTCAGGGAGCTCTGTTTAGTTTTAGCAGCGGCAATCCTGCGCTGCGAGGACCTGCAAGGAGGAGAGGAGGATGGCAGCAAAAAGAACCTGGATATAAGAAAGTATTTTTCCAAAGAAACCTGTAAGTGACTTAAAGTCAAGTTCACTCATAAAACCTGTCCATCATAATAACGTTACAGGCTATGCAAGGTAATACATGCCAACCCTCCCGTTTTTTCTCGGACAATCCCGAATTTCAGTGCCCCTCTTATTACTCTTTCTGGGTTGCAAAATAAACTTTTAACAAATTTTCAGGCGAGAATGTAGCTGTGCAGACTTCAAATATTTGAACCGGGGAGAACAGCAAACTCCCAGCTCACTGACTTGATAGGGGCAATACTATGGGCAGAAATCTGTGCCATCAGAAACTGAATTTGAATAAGTTAAATTTGAATTTGAATTGCTCAGACTGAATCTGAATTGTAACTTGAATAAATGCTTTTGAAAACCGAATTTGAATTAGTCTCATTTGAAATTGAATTTATGGTTTGAAAATGATCATCACTAAATTGAAATTGAATTTTATATTTTGAAAATGAATT